TTCAGACATTGACGAAACTGTAGAGTTTTATTATCGGACCGTCTCAACGTAGTGCAATTATTATGAAGAGCGTAAGAAGTTTGGTACATAATAAATGCTCCGTAATTGTGGACTTATGCCAAACACACTCGACTCAGTGTTAATGTCTTGATGAATAATGAATAATCTAATAATGACTTTATTGGAAGAGTCTAATCTTATCAGCTAAAATATCACGGACAAACAGAATCACAGGACGGAGTGTTAAGGTCATGTGTTTTAATATCCGTTGTATTTAAATCTTACGGCTAATCAATCCTAAGAGAACTAGAAATCCTACCAGGATTTATTTTTGATGAGCCCAACATTAACCACATAAGATATGCATATACCACCGTAGTGATGTCAGAAAAAAAATCTTTAAGGACTTCTAGATAAAGGAAAGTGAAAAGAAAGGGCTAACTATGAATGGTAGGATTTGGTTTGTTGATTTTGTTTAGCGGCATATTAACCTCTATGGGTTATTTAATGTCGAAATTTAATTATTTTAGACGTAATTAAATGTTTTCATTTACAAATAAAATGTATTGTTGGTCATTTTGCTATAAGATGTATTGTTCATAATTCTACTATAAACATGTATTGTTGAAAATTTTACAATATGAAAATTTATTTCTGGTATTTTTATTATAAAAAATATTTTTATACTTTCATAGGTTTTTTTTTTTTTTCACTATTTGGCCATAACTGTCACCCTAGAAGGTCGAATCGTACGAATACAGCGTATGATTATTATCATGTTAGACAACCGAAAGATGAAAGCTGCAAATTAAAGAAATCAAAATAAAGCAATTACTAGAATTTGACTATCTGGGAAATTTAACAGAAATCTGAAGGCACAATGGAATAACGTAAATTGCCTTCCAACAACAAAACAAATCTGAAAAATTGAAAAATTTAAGAAAGTTAACAGATCTGATTTTCTATATAATATCAATCTTTGTACATAGCACTGAACGCTGGACAGTTTCCTCATAGATGAAGAGATAGACTTGATTAAAGTGATTTTGTACAATGGTTTGAAGAATACCATGAACTAAACATGAGTATAATGCGTACGTTTTAAGAAACATGTGAATAAAAAAGAAACATGTGAATAAAAAAGGATAGTATTTTTTGGCTATTTGAATTTATTCCGTCTACATCAATCATATTCTTGGATATATATATATATATATATATATATATATATATATATATATATATATATATATATATATATATATATATATATATAGTCTGAACAGTCTATCGCTATTTCCATGACAAGTGTTCATCCAGGCCCTTCCCCATCCTTACCCTTACAGTTGGGACTTACCATACAACGTAAACAAGAATAATTCATCTGCATTCTCTTCGTATTCTATTAGCAAGAAGAAAGCTCCATTCGGACAGTTTCTTCACGAACTCGCACCACTCTTTTGTGGAACAGACTTCCACGAGAATGGTTCCCCGATCACTATAATCTGTTCATCCAGATTTAGTCGTTATCATTCTTACATGTCCTTTTTACCTGCTCCAGAAAAAAAAATCCTTATACCTTAGCTCTATATATTCAGTGGCGCTTGGGCCTTGTTTTTGATTCATTTATTCGTTTTCTACGGCTTATCAACCTATTGTAGGTTATTTCAAACTAGAAAAAAATTTGAGATAACGTCTAGTGATACAAATCTTACTAATTAACCCATAGTTGGGGAAGAGAAGAGAGGAGATTCCTACTTTACGTAAGGCTATTTGCCCGTTAGTGAATATAACAAAACCAACAAGAATTATATGACTCCCCTATTAATCTTTCCGGGACATTATCCATTACTCTAACCGTCCACCCAAGCTTACATCACGTGGCATTCCCACGTGCCTTGGTCTTTGTATTGGGTAAACACCACTCCACTTATACTAACCCCCAGGAAAGTGACTCATTGCGACTTTTAGAACTAACGTTTTCTGTGAAATGATTAGGTTGAATTAATTGCTATGTCTGTAGCTATGTCACGCTAGAATCTATCTTGCATATTTTTTTTTAAATCGGCACCCCGACAAGCAAGGCTGTAATGCCATTAAAACACAAGGGGTTACAGGGTGTTGAAGAATTAGGAACAGAAACATTAATGATGAGCAAAAAGATATTTAAAAGTCTACCATTCGATCTTCCTTTGAATATTGCTGCCTCATCTGATCTGGTGCTCCTGCTATATATTTAGAGATGAAACTGCAATGTTATTGTTCCTGAGCTGGCATCTTGTCTTCAGTCACTTTCCCAGCGCTCTAACGTAGCGATAACTTTTCTATAAATACTTTCATGGTACTTTAGTATTTATGAAATACCAGATTGGCGGGAAGAACTCATCATTTTACAGTGAAAATGGCTGGATGTGATTGTAACTTCTCTGCTAACAGTTTCATCTATCACACTTATCGCTTGTGGAACTCTCTTCCGGCTTCTTGTTTAACAGTCAACTTTGAGCTTTAAAAATTTAAATGCAATGTCAGTCGTAATCTTTTGTCTTCTTAATTCTTGCACTTTTATTGTACTGTCTCTCCTTAATAGTGTTTCTTATATTCTCTAAAACTAGGTAATCCTTTGCGTCTTAGTGACTTTATTGCTTTGCTTGGGGTGAAATGATTAAAAAAAATGTGTATATATCCCATAAACCCAGGAGATATTTTGAACTATGAACTTTTTTGGGTAATTTCAAAAAATAAAATAAAATAAAATAAAAAGCAGGAAGAAGACGGAAAGTCATGTATGCGATCAGATACGTCATGCATTACTTGCTTAGCTTATTTCATTTATACGAATTTGATTTATATATATATATATATATATATATATATATATATATATATATATATATATATATATTCTTAATAGAAATCTTATGTGTATAAGAAGAAACTATACTCGCTCGTCGCTCGAAAAAACCTTCGGTATATTAATTTGCAAATAAACAAGCCAGCCTTCCCTGACGATCCTTAGGTGAAACCTTGGTAGGTTTGTCTGGCTCTCTAGGTTTAACTATATATATATATATATATATATATATATATATATATATATATATATATATATATATATATATCTTTGTGGGTGTGGTGTTTATAACACTAAGTAGCACTAAACAGCCATTAATATAATTTAGTGCCTTTGAACTAAAAGATATTAAGCTGAAATTGATTAGTCTTATATGAATATAGGTTTTCTATAGCATCAAATACGGCTTATTCATTTCCTCCCATATTGACGAGATAGCATTCTGAGCTTTTTCTTAATTTTCTTTTACGCAGATTGTCCATTCGGTACGTGGGCGATCATCGCTCTCTACAACTTCCTATCTTTTGTAGATCTTAGCAAGCTCTGGCTTTTCACTATCTCCCCAATTGTTTCCTCTTCTGTTATCCATTTACTCAGGCTCGTTATGTATATTACTCCCAGCTTCCCCCTGTTTCTCTTGCCCTCAATATGTCCTGTGAGTGTCAAATTCTCCAAGCCCTATTTCCTCATTATTAAAGACAGCCATAAACGCCAGCTGTCTCTATTAAGTAGAGGCAGTTCTAATTTCTATATTCACTATGCTGTATTTATTAACATTTCAAATAATATGAAACTGTATTCGGTAACATTCTAAGCAAAAAGTACAATCATCCCTTTCTGAAGAAGTTTAATGCAACCACAGCTGGAAGGCCCCTGATCAGGAGATATTGAGGAGCGTGAAACCCCCTATTAATTGGGGTGGTAGCACTTGTTAGGGTCCCAGCTATGGGCAAATAGTTAACTATTACCAGCAATACTTTTTTGAAAAAAATTATTACCAGCAATACAATTTTGGAGGAAATATATTACCAGATACAGATTTTTGACAAAACAAAATATTACTTGCAATAAAAGTTTTTGTCAGCATTAAATAACCCATTGAGGTTGATATGCTGTAAAACAAAATAAACTAAACCAAAGCTGGAATTCGAACTCGGTTCAACAGACTCATTTCCCCGCCGATAACTTACATCATCTTGCACTTCTACGCTTATGAAAATCCTGATAAAAAAAATCAGTGATTCGTCGAGTCACATGCCATTTTGCATAAAAAAGATGTATTTATTATGAGCAATGCTATGAAGACACAAGCATATTTATGAGAAGAAATGTCCGAAAATACATACTGAAGACAATGTACAGGGTAAAACTTATTTGTAGCTTTCTGGATATGGAGGTAAAATACTTCCTCTCTTAGATAAAACCATGCACACGCTTAATTGAATGAGAAGCAATACTTTTCCAATGAAAATCTAAAAGAAAAACAGTGTCAAAATCAAGATCGGCGAAGCAGAATTTTTTCTTCTTTTTGTCATTGTACGTTTAATTGTACTGTGGATCCCAGAAAGATAAAGAGCAGTTAAGCATCCACACGCCCCCGTTCCATAGACGCACAAACAGAGGAAGAAAAGCTTTCGTAGACACACATACATAGACAAGAGCATAAAAGAGTAAGACAAGATAACTAAGTGGCGGAATCAAAGGAATTATCTATTTTTAAGGTTCGCTGCCATCTTTCAACTCCATTACACACGACTTGATTATTTGCTTTCTTTTGATGTATTGACCTTTTCTGAACTTTTATTCATTCGTGCTTCATTGCTTTCATCGATCTCCATATTACTTCTTTTTTTTTCTTCTTCTTCTTCTTCTTCTTCTTCTTCTTCTTCTTCTTCTTCTTCTTCTTCATTCGTATTTTAAGTTGCCTTTCACGAATTTTTCTCTTCGTTTATCTCTCTATATTGTACTTTTCCATCACATTATTGTTCATTATTCTTTTCTCACTTTATGTTTTTCACTTTTCTTTTCTATCATTCGCTAGACTTCCTGTTCATACACCCGATCTTGACATTCTTCTGCTAATATATTTCTTGTTCTCTCTCGTTCAAATTACATTTTTAACCTCATTCTTTTCTTTTTTTTGTTCTAGATTTCTTTTCTTGTTTCTTTTCTTTTATTCTTCGTCTTCTCCTACCGTTATCTTTTGTTTCTGTTACATTTTTTTCTCTTCTTCATCTTCGACAGTCTTGGCTACTTCTTCTTCTTCTTCTTCTTCTTCTTCTTCTTCTTCTTATTATTATTATTATTATTATTATTATTATTATTATTCTCTTTCTGTTTCTTCTTTTCTTCTTCTATACTTTTGTTCGCCTTATCCTCCATTTGTCTGTTCTTCCGATCTTCTGCTTTCGTTCTTTCTCTTGTTTTTTGTTTTTTTCCTTTTCATCTTTTCTGTTTTCTCAATCTTCTCTTTTTTCTTCATTTTCTTTACTTCCGTTTTCTTTGCATTCTCACTGTCTCATATATTTACATCTCTTTTACTTCTTCTCAGTTTTTCTTTTTTCCCTCTCCTTTGATTCCTCATTCCGTTCCGTATTTTCGTTTTCCTTTTTCATCTTTTCTGTTTTCTCAATCTTCTCTTTTTCTTCATTTTCTTACTTCCGTTTTTTTTGCATTCTCACTTTCATTTTTACATTCTTCTCTGTTTTTCTTTTTTCCCTCTCCTTTGATTCCTCATTCCGTTCCGTATTTTCTTTTTCCTTTTCATCTTTTCTGTTTTTCTTTTTTTTTCTTCATTTTCTTACTTCCGTTTTTTATTTGATTCTCTCTCATATTTTACATCTCTTGTTCTTCTCAGTTTTTTTTTTTTCCTTTTCATCTTTTCCGTTTTCGTATTTTCGTTTTTCTCTTTTTCTTTTCTCTTCAATTTCTCTTTTTCTTCATTTCCCTTACTTTCTTTTCTTTGCATTCTCACTGTCTCATATATTTACATCTCTTGTACTTCTTCTCAGTTTTTTTTTTTTCCTCTCCTTTGATTCCTCATTCCGTTCCGTATTTTCGTTTTCCTTTTCATCTTTTCTGTTTTTCTCAATCTTCTCTTTTTTTCTTCATTTTCTTTACTTCCATTTTTTTTTTGCATTCTCACTGTCTCATATATTTACATCTCTTGTACTTCTTCTCAGTTTTTTTTTTTTTTCTCTCCTTTTTGATTCCTCATTCCGTTCCGTATTTTTCGTTTTCCTTTTTCATCTTTTCTGTTTTCTCAATCTTCTCTTTTTTTTCCTTACTTCCATTTTTTTGCATTTTTTTTTCCTTCTTCTCAGTTTTTCTTTTTTTTCCCTTTTGATTCCTCATTCCGTTCCGTATTTTCGTTTCCTTTTCATCTTTTGTTTTCATCTCTTCTACTTCTTCTCAGTTTTCTTTTTTTTTATTTGCCTCTCCTTTCTCATTCCTTACATTCCGTTCTTCGTCATTTTCTTTTTTTCCCTCTTTTCATCATTTTCCGTATTTTCGTTTTCCCTTTTCATCTTTTTTTTTTCTTCTTCTCTTTTTTTCTTCATTTTCTTTACTTCCGTTTTCTTTGCATTCTCACTTTCTCATATATTTACATCTCTTGTACTTCTTCTCAGTTTTTCTTTTTTTCCCTCTCCTTTGATTCCTCATTCCGTTCCGTATTTTCGTTTTCCTTTTCATCTTTTCTGTTTTCTCAATCTTCTCTTTTTTTCTTCATTTTCCTTACTTCCGTTTTCTTTGCATTCTCACTGTCTCATATATTTACATCTCTTGTACTTCTTCTCAGTTTTTCTTTTTTTCCCTCTCCTTTGATTCCTCATTCCGTTCCGTATTTTCGTTTTTTTTTTTTCATCTTTTCTGTTTTCTCAATCTTCTCTTTTTTCTTCATTTTCCTTACTTCCGTTTTATTTGCATTCTCACTGTCTCATATATTTACATCTCTTGTACTTCTTCTCAGTTTTTCTTTTTTTCCCTCTCCTTTGATTCCTCATTCCGTTCCGTATTTTCGTTTTCCTTTTCATCTTTTCTGTTTTCTCAATCTTCTCTTTTTTTCTTCATTTTCCCTTACTTCCGTTTTTATTTGCATTCTCACTGTCTCATATATTTATATCTCTTGTACTTCTTCTCAGTTTTCTTTTTTCCCCTCTCTTCTTCCTCATTCCGTTTATTTTCTTTTCCTTTTCATCTTTTGTCAATCTTCTCTTTTTTTCTTCATTTTTTTCCTTACTTCCGTTTTGTTGCATTCTCACTTTGTCTCATATATTTACATCTCTTGTATTTTCTCAGTTTTCCTTTTCCCTCTCCTTTGTTTTTCCGTTCCGTATTTTCTTTTCCTTTTTCTTTTCTTTTTCTCAATTTCTCTTTTTTTTCCGTTTTATTTTATTTGCATTCTCACTGTCTCATATATTTACATCTCTTGTACTTCTTCTCAGTTTTTTTTTTTTTCCTCTCCTTTGATTCCTCATTCCGTTCCGTATTTTCGTTTTCCTTTTCATCTTTTCTGTTTTCTCAATCTTCTCTTTTTTTCTTCATTTTCCTTACTTCCGTTTTATTTGCATTCTCACTGTCTCATATATTTACATCTCTTGTACTTCTTCTCTCAGTTTTCCCTTTTTTTTGATTCCTCATTCCGTTCCTTTTCGTTTTTTTTTTTTTTCCGTTTTCATCTTTTCTGTTTTCAATCTTCTCTTTTTTTTTCTTCATTTTCCTTTACTTCCGTTTTCTTTTCTCACTGTCTCATATATTTACATCTCTTGTACTTCTTCTCAGTTTTTCTTTTTTCCTCTCCTTTTTCCTCATTCCGTTCCGTATTTTCGTTTTCCTTTTCATTTTTCTGTTTTCTCAATCTTCTCTTTTTTCTTCATTTTCTTTACTTCCGTTTTATTTGCATTCTCACTGTCTCATTCTTTACATCTCTTGTACTTCTTCTCAGTTTTTTTTTTTTTTCCCTCTCCTTTGATTCCTCATTCCGTTCCGTATTTTCGTTTTCCTTTTCATCTTTTCTGTTTTTCTCAATCTTCTCTTTTTTTTCATTTTCCTTTACTTCCGTTTTATTTGCATTCTCACTGTCTCATATATTTTACATCTCTTGTACTTCTTCTCAGTTTTTCTTTTTTCCCTCTCCTTTGATTCCTCATTCCGTTCCGTATTTTCGTTTTTTTCATCCTTTTCATCTTTTCTGTTTTCTCAATTTCTTCTCTTTTTTTTGCATTTCATTTTCCTTACTTCCGTTTTATTTTGCATTCTCACTTTGTCTCATTATTTTCCGTATTTTCGTTTTCTTGTACTTCTTCTCAGTTTTTCTTTTTTTCCCTCTCCTTTGATTCCTCATTCCGTTCCGTATTTTCGTTTTTCCTTTTCATCTTTTCTGTTTTCTCAATCTTCTCTTTTTTTTTTCTTCATTTTCCTTACTTCCGTTTTTTCCGTTTGCATTCTCACTGTCTCATATATTTACATCTCTTGTACTTCTTCTCAGTTTTTCTTTTTTTCCCTCTCCTTTGATTCCTCATTCCGTTCCGTATTTTCGTTTTCCTTTTCATCTTTTCTGTTTTCTCAATCTTCTCTTTTTTTCTTCATTTTCCTTACTTCCGTTTTATTTGCATTCTCACTGTCTCATATATTTACATCTCTTGTACTTCTTCTCAGTTTTTCTTTTTTTCCCTCTCCTTTGATTCCTCATTCCGTTCCGTATTTTCGTTTTCCTTTTCATCTTTTCTGTTTTCTCAATCTTCTCTTTTTTTCTTCATTTTCCTTACTTCCGTTTTTTTTTGCATTCTCACTGTCTCATATATTTACATCTCTTGTACTTCTTCTCAGTTTTTCTTTTTTCCCTCTCCTTTGATTCCTCATTCCGTTCCGTATTTTCCTTTTCATCTTTTCATTTCTTTTCTGTTTTTCTTCATTTTCTTCTTCTTTTTTTGCATTCTCATTTCTCCATCTCTTGTACTTCTTCCCCTTTTTTTCCTCATTCCGCATTTTTCTCATCTTTTCTGTTTTCTCAATCTTCTTTTTTTTTCTTCATTTTCTCTTCCGTTTTCTTTGCTTCTTCTCTCATATATTTACAGTTTTTTCTTCTTTTTTTTTTTTTTTTTCTCTCCTTTGATTCCTCATTCCGTTCCGTATTTTCGTTTTCCTTTTCATCTTTTCTGTTTTCTCAATCTTCTCTTTTTTTCTTCATTTTCTTTACTTCCGTTTTATTTGCATTCTCACTGTCTCATATATTTACATCTCTTGTACTTCTTCTCAGTTTTTCTTTTTTTCCCTCTCCTTTGATTCCTCATTCCGTTCCGTATTTTCGTTTTCCTTTTCATCTTTTCTGTTTTCTCAATCTTCTCTTTTTTTTTTTCATCTTCATTTTCCTTTACTTCCGTTTTTCCGTTTTTCTTTGCATTCTCACTGTCTCATATATTTACATCTCTTGTACTTCTTCTCAGTTTTTCTTTTTTTCCCTCTCCTTTGATTCCTCATTCCGTTCCGTATTTTCGTTTTCCTTTTCATCTTTTCTGTTTTCTCAATCTTCTCTTTTTTTCTTCATTTTCCTTACTTCCGTTTTATTTGCATTCTCACTGTCTCATATATTTATATCTCTTGTACTTCTTCTCAGTTTTTCTTTTTTTCCCTCTCCTTTGATTCCTCATTCCGTTCCGTATTTTCGTTTTCCTTTTCATCTTTTCTGTTTTCTCAATCTTCTCTTTTTTTCTTCATTTTCCTTACTTCCGTTTTCTTTGCATTCTCACTGTCTCATATATTTACATCTCTTGTACTTCTTCTCAGTTTTTCTTTTTTTCCCTCTCCTTTGATTCCTCATTCCGTTCCGTATTTTCGTTTTCCTTTTCATCTTTTCTGTTTTCTCAATCTTCTCTTTTTTTCTTCATTTTCCTTTTACTTCCGTTTTTTTACTTTGCATTCTCACTTTCTCCTATATTTTCTGTTTTCTCAATCTCTTGTTTTTCTTCTCAGTTTTTCTTTTTTTCCCTCTCCTTTGATTCCTCATTCCGTTCCGTATTTTCGTTTTCCTCTTCTTCTTTTCTGCTTTCGCTTATTATTTTGTTTCTTCTTTTCTTTTTGTATCTTTGGATTCCTCTGCTTCCTTTGTTTTATCGTTTTGCATTTCTTCTCTTTTACTCCCACTCCTTCCATTTTTCTTCTTTCTTTTCTTCTCTTCTGTTACATTCCTTTCCTTTTTTTTCTTACTTTCCCTATTTTCCGTTCTCTCTTGCCTTTCTTTTTTCCCTTCTTCCTTTTCTTCTTTTCTGTTTCCTTTACTATTTCCTTCTTCTTTCTTTTTTGCTCATCGGATTCACCACTTCCCTTTCTTTCTCGCCTCTTCTTCCCCTTTCATTTTTTTTCTGCTTATTCTATTTCAATTGTTTTTTCGTCGACGTTTTTTCTCTTTTGCTCCCTCTCTTTAACTTGTTTTTCTTCTTTTTCGTTTTCTGCTCTCATTCCTTCCATTGACTTTTCTTCTTCTTTTAATTTTCCACCTTTGTCTTCTCTTCAGTTTCCTTTATTTCCTGTGTTTTCCTTTTCCCATTTATTCACTTCTACTACCGTTCTTTCTCATGATTATTTTCTTTCTTTTCTTTCTCTTTTGATTTTCGCTTCCTTTAATTTACTTATTTTTCTTCTTTTCTCTTTCCTCTCTCCCCACTTGTTTTTCTTCATCATTTACTTCTTTTATCCTTCTATTTTTAAAATTTTTTCCTTGTTCCGTTTTCGCCTTTTCTTTTTCTCTTTAGCATTTTAATCCCATTTGTTTCTTCTCATTTCTTTCCTCGCCACTTCTGCTTCCTCCAAACTTAATCATTTTTTAATCATCGGATTTCTTTCTTTCCATTCTTTTTCATTTTGACATTTTTCTTCTTTTGTGTTCCTTCCTTTTTTCTTCATCGTTTTATGATTCCTGTTTTTTTATTGCTTTTTCTTTATCTCTTCTCTTCTGCTTCCTCTACTTTGCTTGTTTTTCTTTTTTTTATTTCTCTTTTAGATCTTCCATTTCTTCTTTTTCCTTTCTTTTTCTGTTTCCTTTTGCCCCATTTTTCTTCGCGTTCTTCTATTTCATCTTTTTCTCTTTCCTTTTCTGCTTTATCATTTTTTTCGTTTCTTCTTTTTATTTCTTTTCCTTTTTATTTCTTTTCATTTTCTTCTCTTCTCTTTCTTCTTTTCCACCTCCCTTTTCTCCTTTTTTTTAAATATCCTCTCATCTTTCCTCTTCATTTTTCTTCTTTATCTTCTTCCCTTCTACTTACTTTTCGTCTTTTTTCTTCTTCCTCTTTTTAATCTTTTTATCTGCATTCACTCTTTCCCCTTTTTCTTCACCCTTTTCATCACTCCTGTTTTTTTCTCCATATATTTTTTATTTTTCTTCTCCTCTATTTCTTATTCTGCCTTTATTTTTTAGTCTTCATTTTCTTTTTTTTCTCGCTCTCTTCTTCGCTCGCTTCTATCATTTGATTTCTCTCACTTTTCCGCAATCTCTTCTTTTCTCTTCTTCCTTTTTATACTTTTAATAAAATTTCTATTCATAACTCTCTACTGCCTATTGCATATGTTTTATATGAAAATAAATTTTGGAAATCAATCTAAAAAAACTTATGGCTACTTTTTAAATTTATCAAAGTAAATAAGAACTTCATGAAACAATTTAAAAAGTAAATTACATAGGATTAAAGTATTTGCATAATCTATATTAAATATTATTTAAAATGAATATCAAATAATTCCAGCTTGTTTAATGGAGGTCTATCTTCTCTAATCTTAACATGTTGCCGATTTATACGTAGTGAGCATCGCTTAATAAGCGTATCTAATCCAGCAAAACACTTTTTTCTTTTCTTTTTTCCATCCATATCAAATTCATTCTACTTCTCAGAGTCTAGCTATTGTACAATCCAATCCAATTTAGGGATTCCCATTCCAATTGGGGGAATCCCTCATTGATTGACCATGTCAAGGGCGTAGTTGTATACACTCCGATTAGAAAATTACAAGTTGTGGATGCTATTTACCCTATAATTTTAGGTTTTAAAATCAGAGCTAACTTTATCCTAGACCGCTTGCCACCCCAGGCTATAATACCCAGCCCGTCTTGCTATTAAAAGGTATTGTTCAGATAAGAAGCAAGTGATATTTTAGTTTGATTGGAGGAATTTGTCTGGCTGTGAACTTTTCAGTAATGCCGTATACACACACACACACACACACACACACACACACACACACACATATATATATATATATATATATATATATATATATATATATATATATATATATATATATCGAAGTTTGTACAAATAGTTCTTAAAACTTATTAAAAAACATCGACAACCTCATAACTTAGTTACCTGAAGCGTTACTCAATCTATTTGCACTAAACTCAGCGTTCTTCACACAACGAGTAAAAAATTTTAACTTTCAGATAGACACAGGAAATTTGTCTTTGGAAATGATGAACACCATAATATTTTTCTTTAAAAAATAAAAAAAAACAACACCCTGATGATGACATTGTGCTAATGTCGAAAATACTCCGAATAAATAATATTTATCAACACAGTAATTTTCTCTCTTTCTTTAATAAAAGCTTGTCCATGAATATGAAAGTAACTAATTGAAAATAAGCAGACAAAACTTGTCTACATAATTCAATGAAACATATCTCAATATGTATACACACAATTTAAATTACATGATCCAGCAGCTCACAAAACTATCAACACTTGGAATTATAAATGTAGCCTTGTGAAAAGGCAAATTGAAACAGCCAAGAAAAATTGAACACCCTTAACAGCAACAAACAGGACATCTATGATAAACTACAGGATATAACTAACCCGGACCAACTGGAGGAAATTACACATAGACTCACGGAAATTACCAACAAGTCTGAAGCTCAACACTGGTTTAAAATTATTAAAAAAAAACTGAATACATTATACAACGATACTATCACTCTTCCTAACAAAACTGATAAATTCATTAACCTTTCCAACTATGAACTAACTATGCACCAAAAAGAAATACTTAACCTTGGACCTAACTGTCATATATACCGTAAGTACAATCGACTTATTAAAATAGAAAATTGAGACCCTATACCAAAACATAGTTAAACTCCAGGATGAACAACTAATAGAAACAACAGAATTTTAAGACTTACTTAAGGCCGAGGCATTCAAAGATCGGCATGATAAAAGCAGAAACTCCTCAAAAATACTTTCTAAACAACTAAAAATTGCAACACAAGGACTACGCAACCACCCTGGCATAATTGTAAAAAAAAGCTGATAAGACCAACATTTTTGTCATCCTAAACAAATTGGATTACAACAAAAAACTTAACCACATACTCCATGATCACATAAAGTTTAAAAAACTCAACAAGAACCACCCGAACAACCAACTAAAATAAAAGTTTAATAAACTTATTAATGCTAATAATACTGAACAGAACTCTTTAAAACTCCCTAAAATTGTTTGTGATTATAGACCTGTTTACATATACAGCACTATAAAAACACATAAACTTAACTATCCTCTCCATCCTATCATATCGCAAATTCCAATAACTGTATGTCAGCTAATAAAATACATTAACCAACTCATTACTCCCTACCTTCCTAGTAAATATAGTGTTACGTCAACATTAGAAGTAATCCAAATCCTAAAAAGTGAAAAACCCAACAGTGAAATCCTAGCTTCACTTGATGTTGAAAACATATTTATCAATGTCCCTGTTAGTGAAACTACTGACATAATTATAAGAAATATATACAGTAAATCATATTTACCCCCACTTAAAATTAATCCTAATATATTACGGAAACTACTATTAGCTTGTACTACTGAAGTCCCTTTCATAAAAAAATAATATATATATATATATATATATATATATATATATATATATATATATATATATATACAACGTGATGGTGTCTCCATGGGTTCAGTACTGGGTCCGACATTTAGCAATTTCTACATATCGAACCTCGAAAATAAGATATTTACAAATATTAAAAAACATCAATCTACCTAAGATATGTTGATGATATCCTTATGTTAGTTAAAAATACAGATGAAATACTTCAACTTCAAAAACGATTCTAAAATAATTCTGTCCTTAAATTCACGTATGAACTCAATACTACTAATAAAATTCCCTTCCTTGACGTATTGATAAACACAAATTAATACAAATTTACTATTTCGCCATACAAAAAACCTACCAGCATAAATTCATGTACCCTTAAGAGCGAATGCCCATATTATTACAAAATAGCAATTATAAAAAATCTAATACATCGTGCAGAAACTAATTCATCCACAAAACAGATTTTTAACAGTGAATTCAAGAATATAAAACAAACACTTATTAATAATAGCTTTCCAAACTATCTAGTTGATGAACAAATAAGATGCTTTCTTAGAAATTTCAATACTAAGCAAATAGTACATAATACTGCTTCTACTAATTTCAAACATATTTATCTCCTATATTGTAATCAAATGCATACTAATTATAAACAAGATGAAAATATATTAAATAAATTAGTAAATACTAATATATCTACAACATATCCCAGCAAAAAACTCAAGTTAATCATATACTACACTAAATCTAGTATATCCAACTCAGTTATTCGCAATGATTCTTTGGGAGATTGTATCTCCAACGAATTAAATAATATTTATGTTGGTCACACCACGAACTCGCTTTCACAACGTTTGACACTACATTTGAATGATAAATCTAACATTTTTAGGCATTTAAAACATTCCTGGCCGCATACACAATTCCGGAAAATCCTTGTTGAAAACACAATTATAATTAAACATGAAAACAATAAACAAAATCTAAAAATTCTTGAAGCTATATACATAAAACCGTTGATAACTAACCTGAACAAAATAATCTACGAAATCTCTACAAATATTCTTAAATGCCTATAATTGGTAACAGAAGCCATTGGTTTATACCAACGGCTTCCCATAGTTAATACTTCCCGTTTTAACTCTAGCGTGGTCATGTGTGACGCCATGAGCGGCGGTGCGATTTTCGCTTCCAGCGTCTTATATGCACGAGTTTGTCCTTGCTGGGAAATCTTTCATGTAAACATAAACAATCATTATTTTTTTGTCCGTGTATTGCTTAATATATTGTAATGTAATTGTCATCTTTGATAATGGCTTATGTAAGCCGAAACCTTAGATAAGATTAAAAAATATGTATCAATATTTTGATTTTCTTTCTTCGTTTAATGATTATGTTATTAAGCTTATCAGAGGATATGAAAAGAATTTACATAAAATAATTAGACAACACCTGTCTATATTATTTAATCAAACATGCATCAATATATATATATATTTGAATTTGTAGGTCTGATGATTTGGATCGTATTTACGATTCCAATGTAATAAATTATGACCATGGAATATTAGTGTTTAAGCCTTATATATATATATATATATATATATATATATATATATATATATATATATATATATGGCGAGGTGTTTATGTATGTGCGTGTGTAGTAAAGACCCTAGTATTGGGGATAACTAATTTATTTTTAAACTTTGCAGTTAGAGTGTCACGGGGTAGGATTAGTAATTTTGTGTTATTGTTGTTGGAAGTGCTATTGGTGGTTTCTAGAGTTTGCGGATTTCTAGATTTTGCATGCCAGTTTTCTCTCTCTAAGGATAAAATTATGTGGGTAGTGAAGATGTCTAAATGTTTTT